ACGGCCTTAAAAAATATGACACAACCCTGAACACGGGCTCCTTCCCCGCCTCTCCAGCAACGACGCACCGTTTCTGGCCTCCGTGCAGAACGGAGGGGAACCCAAACCTCTTCCCAAAGGCGAAAGATGGATGAAGTGCGGCTCTGGCCTGGGAGGGACGGGTGGGAGGACTCGGGTTCCTAGCGGCACTGCCTACGTGTGGATGGGGCACAGGCACTTCTGTGGGATATTTCAGCTTTTCACAATGCAGATGAATCACAAAACGTGGTGAGAGGTTAAATGCCCGACTGGGACAGCGCTGCCCGGTCCTGGGCTGCAGCATCTCTGGGACCCCGCTGGAGGAGAGGCAGGTGCCCGGGGGCTGCTGTTAGACTATGGTTAGCGTTGGCTTAAAGTACCGTCAGCTTAAGTAATGCTAGAGAAAAATACAGGGCTGCTCGTATTAATTTATTTGGAGCCTCCATACCTCCTCACATTTATGTTGTGTTTGTTTTAATTAGGGCTAAATATTGATCTCACTGAAGACGACTGTAAGTAACCCCATTTTGGGGACAGCATTCGGTGCTCAGCGCAGCAGTGTTTACAGCCTCGTTAGCGGCTGGATTTCTGGCTCGTTTCCACGGCTCTCGCTCCCCTTCGGTCTCCATCTTCTGACCCACCTTGTCGTATGGTGGGAGGACTCACAGAAGCTCCAGATCCTCAGTCACGGAGGAAAGAAATTGTAAAAAAAAAAAGTGGAAGAGAGAAGGTTTATACAGGAGGTGAAGGCTAATTACAGCTGGGGATTTTCTCTGCCGCCCTGGCCGGGCGCCAGCGGGACAGGTGAGTTCCCTGGGGCAGAGCAGGGTCCGGTGGCCCTCGGCCATCCCCGGCCGGCACCGCGGGGCAGGGGCTGCGCCCACCGGCAGCACTGAGTGGGGGATGCCCTGCCTGCGGACCCCCGCACCGGGGCTGCCCGCGCCTCGAGCAGCCCCCTGCCCTGCCTCTGCCTGCTGCGGGAATGCCCCGCCGCCATCCCACCGTGGCGGTGCAAAGAGAGAGGGGGCAACGCGGGCGGGGGCCGAGGGAGGAAGGCGATGGAGGGGCCCCGGCATGGCGCCAGGTCGGGTCGTGGCAGCCCGCGGCGAGCCGCCCCCG